ATCTGGGAACTGTCTCAGTAAAAACAGGATAGGCGGAAAGGGGATTCAAACAAATTAATGATAACAACAGGCCGCATCAAAAACTACTGAGCTCCTTCATATCCTGGATAATATTAGATTTGTGCTTTTATTGTCAGAGAATAATATCTTTGAGGCATAAAGTAGCTTTTAATAAAATTGTAATTTAATAACTGCAAAGCACAGACTAATAAACAGGACCTAATTTAATGTCCTCTGTGCTTCTCAGAATTACTCCCTAAAGAAATCTGAATTTAAAGTTGTTGCTATAAATGTGCTGTAATACTGAATAAATGAACAGACTAGAGTGAATATTTTACCCACTTGTCTTTGTCCCAGAGCCATCCGACCTTAATGCTGATGGCCATTCTCACCTAAATCTGACCCTCTGTCTTTTCCCCATGTTGGTTTTGTCTCTCTGGCTTCCTGTAGTTCATACATAAGCGCCAAACTAATGGAGACAATTACTCTTTTCTTAAGAGCGCACAGTAAAACTTTCCTTAAACCAAACTGCACTGCCTAAAATAAATACAACTAATAAAAGGGTAACTTTATACTCCAAACCTTTCTGCTCTGTCATCTGTTTTCTGTGTCGCATTTTCTCATTAGTTCCATTTGGCGAGGCCAAAAACTTTTCCAGATTACATTTTCAGACTCTCCTTGTGTTTTTTTCTTTGTAAGCCTATAGCTTTGCTCTCTTGGTTCTCTTTTGGTTTCTTTGATGACAGACTGAAGGCTGAAGTTGATTATCTTTTAAAGCCAAAATAAACTAAATCAGAAATATTGGGAACTACATCCCATGAGAAAAAAAAGAGGTAAAATCAGAAAAACTCTTATTGGCCTGAGCTAGAAGCCTGTGGGCTAACACTGTTCATGCCATTTTCCACTGTCATCAAGCAAAGTATATGTATAAAATAATGGATGATACAGTTCGGTTTAACCTATGATTCATTTAATCCTTTTTGAATTGGCAAATAGCCCCTGATTTCCTTTGCATTGGCTTTAAAGGTTCCACTTTAAGTGACAACCATATTTTGTATTTTGTTGTCATGCATCACTGAAACTATTCAAATGCTTACGTCACAAACAGGAATTCCAGTTGACCAGTGCTTACGTTCATTATCGTACAGGATTTAGGTTATGACACAAAAGCTTAGTCACCTGTGAACACACCCCTGATTCAGACTTAAAGAGCCTAATCCCGACGTGGTTATTTTAAGGACGTAGCAAGAATGAAACCAAAAAAGGAAGACTTAAGCGAACAATATACAGGGAGGATCAACTTCCATTTTGCTGTGTGGTTCGAAACCTCCTCTCTTGTCCGCCTGATGAAGAAGTCAAAATATTTGATCTAAAACATACCCTGTTCTTAAGATTTAACTCTGTTTATAAACAATTCCCCCTATTTTTTGTTTGAGATTTTGAACTTTACAGGGTGTAAAGTTGCTGAGCAGGTGTCTGAAAACCTATTGCACAATTTCCTGTCTTGTTTTTTGTCAGTTCAATGATTTCACCTTTTATTCAGCTCCAGTTTTCTGCTGTATGACAATAGAATATTACATTTTTTGTTCGATATAAATCGTCTTTGACTCAAACTGTCAATCTAAGAAGCCGTGACGTATAACTAACCAAACATCGAAATGGTTTGGTTTGTCAAGAACGCCTAAGCCAGTTTGCAAGATCTTTGCAACATTAGCAAAAGGTCCATCCTCTCTCACGGTTATCGTGTTCTCTTTAGATACCAGCATTGGTTTCGGACGTGAGAATTACAAGGCAACCATAAGCGGAAGAGGTTTCAGATGTATAATTTAGAAGTCTAGCTCCATCCCCTCAGTAGGCCTTTTGCGAATGCTGAAACACACATAGGCACTGACAAGAGAGGAAGTGCATCAGTCATAGCACAACCCACACAGCACGTTTTCAACAGACTAAATATTGGTGCAGTACAGCAAAGTTCACAGGCGAGAATTCATTCATCCGGTAAGCTTTTTACAGTTTGATTTTCACCAGGAAGATAATCTTTATTCTATTTCTATTATTTTCATTGTTTCTTGAATTTTTTTTCCACTTCCTGGCATCAAAACTAAACCTAAAAGAACGAAAGATCATGCTGTATCTCAAAGGCAACATTAATTCGTTAAGAATATGAAAGAGCATTAAAAAGATGCAAAAGTTCACAAGGGTTTAGCATATGATTATGATACCTGAAAGAAAGTTAATTTATGATAATGCACATAGCACACGGTCATAAAACACAAACATTTCACTTTTAACCTTTTTACATGTACATAGAGGTCTGGTTTTTACTTAACTCAACCTTGTCAAAAATCAGTCACGTGTCTTAATTATTTTTGTTTTTAATCAGTGTTGTGCAGAGTTTTTGGGTTGTAGGGGAATTTTTTTTACAGTGAACAGTGATATCAGTTGCACAAATAACCAGTTGAATTATTTTTTTTTTTCTTCTGACCTACAACAATATATATCTTGATATATTTTTTCGCTCCTCATTCATTTAGGAAAAGCGAGCACAAATACATTTTCAAGACAGAAATAGCAGTGATACCTTATTATTAAACACTGATAATATAATCTTTCTGGAGTCATTTCAGTCTATTAATTGTTCTTCATTTTTCAGGGCTGCTTCTTACAGATATACAGTGCAGAATGTGCATCAACGGTACGACTCTGTCTACAGATATCACTCAGGGTGCAGGCTATGGTCTGTTGTTTCTTCTGGGTTTTCTTGTCAATGCCGCTGTTCTGTATACCTTCCTTGTCAAACGGCACTCCTGGACAGACACTCACGTGTACATGCTGAACTTGGCCCTGGCCGATTTCGCCCTCGTTCTCTTTCTCCCCTTCAGGATTTATGATGCCTTTTTCTGTCTGCCAAAGACTCTTTTGTGTACGTTCCTTATTTTCATTCATTTCGTCAACATGTATGCCAGCATCTTTACCACCACAGCCATCAGTGTCCATCGCTACCTGGCAGTAAGGTTTCCACTGCAGGCCAGATCATGGAGGAGGAAGAAGGAGACGGCTGTCGCTGTGTGTGTGACGATCTGGCTACTTCTGGTGACAGGGTGTGCTTTATTCTGGAAAGAAAACAGGCCTGAAATGCTCTGGACATGCTATGAACGAAGCAAAGACACGCCACTGAATGGATTTTTGATAGGGCTCCTGGTGTTTGTAGGCTTCCTCGTTCCACTCCTGATCGTTGTATTTTGTTCTAGTCAAATCATCTGTGTTTTGTTAAAGATGCCTGACATGTCAGATGAGAAGAAAAGTATCGTTGGCATAGTAAAAGCAAACATGATTGTATTTATTGTCTGTTACACTCCAATCCACATTGCCTTTCTCTTGAACTACTTTCAAGATGTACCTCCAAATTGGAAAACTTTTTACATTCCCGGTCACATCTATCTTATCGTCTGTGAGTGGATCGCTTCCACAAACTGCTGTTTTGACTCCATCAGTTTTTATTTCTTATTAAAACAACATTATTCATAGGAGACTGAGAATTTCATGTTTTAAGTAGCACTCAGTTTTGCTTGATGTTTCTTTTTTTTAAAACTGCATCATGGAAACAATCATTTATGTCCTCTCTGCTGATGAAGGCAACCACACAGTTTCAGTTCGGACACTCTGGAGGAAGTAACAAGAGCTAAGGTGGTTTTAAGATAAAAAAAAGCAACAAAAATATGTAAAGGTGGTTCTCATCCAAATGTTAAAAGTTCTTTTATTTGCTTTTTTCATATTAATGTTTTTTGCAATTTTTGTATGCAACAATGCATTAGCAATCTTGTTGCTAATGTCTTTGTCTGATCATTTGCTATCTCTGAATCTCTGGAATTAAAGTCTTATAGCTGATGTTCTATGTAGTTTGGACTGACTGCAATCAGTCTTTCTTCAACAACTAAATCAATCCATGTCGATGTAATTTGCCTTATAATTGAGCACCGAAAGAAGTTATTTACTCAAGCTCAGTTGGCTCTGACTTGGAATAAATAATCAAGTGCCAGTGTTTGTTTTTCAGCTGCTTTTGAGACGTTCATGAAGCAATTTGCGCGTCTGTTTTTGAGGTCCAAATACCTCCATCTGCTGACCTTTCTGCCCACTGTGTGATGTTCAAAGCATAACATCAAAGCTGAAAACAAGAGCTATTATTGGCTCTGCTCTGCACCTTTCAGCAAAACAGAAGCCTGTTTCTGCAAAACCAGACACATGCACTTGGTCGGAAGGCAAGTGTGGGGGGCCTGCATCTATTTCTCCCTTAGAGTGATATTCAGCATCCAGCTCCCCCTGGTGTTTATAGAAAGTACATGCTTGATGGGCTTTCTGCCCCACCCTGCCCAGAATAATCCAGTTTAGATGGTTCTGTCAAACAGTCTGATGGCAAACGTGTCTCATTTAGGACAAATTAACTGATGTAATGATATAAACAAGTCCCATTATGACTGATAGCAATCAAGCCTCGCTTGAAAGGGGTGTGTATCTGTATGTATATGTATAATATTAATTTATTCAAATGAGTGCATTTACAAGCACACTTGACAACATTTGCAGTCAATTTTATAATGCCATTTAATAGCAGTACTGATTATTACATCAGCAGTAACTTAGCAACTGCAAAAACGTCAGGCAAATGAGAAGGCTCAGCTCTGGCTGAGGTCAGGCCTGGGACTCTACTCTAACAACAGGAAAGAAAGGGCTGAACCCTGCATTCAGCCTTAGTCACATAAGTACTGTACAGACATTTTTATTCACAGCGTATTCACCAAAAAATAGCCTCACACTTCAAACACAGTCTTGTCTTTAAAGAGAAAGGGCGACGCCCTCTTCTCCCACCGAAACCAGAACTGATACACAATACATTCAACATGACTATTTACACTATTCACAAATGATACAGGACAGCTCCTTCAAAAACAAACAAACAAACAAAAGAAACAAACAAACAAAACAAAGACGCATCTTTGTGCTTTTAATTATTACGGCACATTCTGATGAGCACAAACAAAAAAGAAATGATACATTCATTCGCTCTGGATGCTGAAGAGTATTTTCAAGATCCCTAAGTATAGCAGTCATTGGCAATGAAGGACAAACAGTCACTAGACCAAGACAAAACCTCCAAAACCAGGGACACAAAATGAGTTACACAGTGTTCCCTAAATGCACTTCAGTCCACTTGAAGGTTTACTCATAAACCACTTGGAAATCATTATTCAAGCATGTAAGCTATTCTGGAGTAAACGCAGATGTGCTGTGGCGTAGGTGAACACACTAATACTGTGACCGTAACGGGCACGACAAGGTGTCTATATCAACTCTTACATATTTACACTATACGGCATGAACTGCCAAAGTAGTTTATAGAAAGATCCTCAGTAATGGCATTCAGCATCAGAAAGAAGTGTCTGGACAGATGAAGGAGCTGCACAACTGATTTCAACAGTACAAGCCCAAATCTTAATGAAAAAAAATCAGACATTCAGCATGTGAGGTCAAAGGCAAACATGTCACAAGTTTACTGCAATAAGAGAGTTCTTCAACACCATAGTATGAGAAAGGTGCACTGCTGACTGAAATGGACTTCATCATGGCACTTGAAATATTTTTTCTTTTTTTTTCTTTCCTTTTTTGCTTCTGTAATCAGGCATTGATAAGTTGGGTTTGGCACTCTGATCTAAAAAAGGTGGTTTCCATCAAGTCCCCCATCGTTACAAAACCTATGTGAAAAAAATATTTTTATACATTAATGACATGATAAATTCTTATTTTTGTTCGCAAGCAAATGCCTGCCTATATTTTGGGAGCTACTGTCTTGTATTATCACATTATCTAAATGAAAGATTACTATGTACATATTAATCATATTGCTGTTCATTGTAGGTCAGAACAAATCAGCATTCATCTGTCGACTTGGTGTGAAAATCGCATATAAGTTGTAATAGTAAGTTTCAATATTAACAAGTCTTTTTTATGATTTCAATCCCATCCCTTTTTGAGACTTCTGTCTCCATTCTAACACACTCTAACCATGCTGTGTTGATCTAAGCACTGACCATTTCATTCTGCAGGACACTTTGATGGGCTGAATATATAGTTTCATTTGTCTGCTGAGAACATTGCCATTACCCCTATTGGCTCTGAGTGAAGTTAGAGGTTTCAATCACGGACACTGTTACCATCACTTTACACCATAGCACATCAGTGAGACCTTGACCCACGGTGGACTTCTGCAGAAATATTTACCACTGAAACAAGGCTGTTTTCTGTCAGGGTCTAATGTATGTGTTTTTGTGGAGAATTGCTCTACATTGACAGTTAATATGCTCCTACAGCATATTGCATCCCCCCACTTCCTTTAGTTTTATGTCTAACCAGTGTTGTGGTGCAATCCCACCCAGCGTCCTTGAGGAATTATTCGTCATTAAAGAGAAGAGGGAATGGAAGTGGGGAACGGATGGAGCGGCGGACAGCTGAGATGCCGTCATTACAGAGAGCGTGCAGTTGGCAGGAATAGTGCTGACATTTCAGTCCTGCATTCTGCTCACAGACGTAAGTTATGGTCCCATATCCCTATGAGACAAGTTAGAAGGCGTTCAGCACTTAAGTCATGATTTCTACAGAATACATTTCACCCACCTGTAAAAATACATGTAAGCAACTGCTGCATGTGTGCAGCAGGGAGTCAGAACTACTACAGTTTTGATCAACCTCGAGCCTTGGATACTATTGTAATGTTCACAACCTGCCATTTCAATTCAAGTACCTAGTTGGCAATCGAACAAGCAGGTAATATAGTTGGGAACAGATGGTTGGCAGTCTTGTTAATGTTATCCAAGGGGAGCAAAACATCCCACTTCTGGACATGCGGGCTCAGTCAATTTGCACAGGGACAACAGTCTCTAAGTCTCTGCTCACATCCTCTCTGCTCCCCATTCAGTTTTTTTCTGTCTGTCCATCTTTAGCCTCCATCCCTTCTCCTCTCTTGTCCTGCTGCTGCTGCTGCCGAGAGAAGGAGAGAAAGGCATCTCTGCAATGCAGACACAGCAACAACCTCAGTCCATCTGACCAATTAGTGTGAGCTACAATATGAGTGGCAGAACCAACGGCCAATCATAAGGAAAGACTCATTCTTGGGTGAAGAGGTTTGCCTGAGACACTGGCTGCAGATTGGAGGGGGGGGGGTTAAATGACAATGAATAATATAGGAAACGATAGGATTGACAGAGAGAGGAGAGAGGAGATATTTAGGAATATTAAATCAAGAGCTTCCAACATGGACAGACTTCTGTACCCTTTATTTTCTTCACATTCATTGGCCGGTTTGAGTCCTATCACTGCAGTTTTTCTTACTCATTAGCTGGCTGAGATCCACCAGCTCTCCCAGCTCCCCTCGCTCAAGGGCTCCCCTCAGCATAGCCCTGCTCAGGACAGGGTTGTGTTGCTGGGATATGTAAGACTGACCACTGGGCGGAGGCATGGGAGGTGGGGGCAGGGGTACAGGGACCATGCCGTGACTGCTGAGGATGTATCCTTCCTGGGCCGGCCAGCGCAGAGGCAGTGGCTCGCTGTATTCCACGGGGGCACTGGGGGCTGACACCACTCTCCGACGCTCAGGAGAGTCCTGGGGGGTCATGGGGTAGACGTATTCCCCTGCAGATTTCCTCAAGGGGACTTTGGGTGTTCCCTTCCCTCCTTTCTCTTGCTTGCTCAAGCAGACGTAATGCTGGCGTGGGGTGTCATTCCCACGGCCGTCCCCACCGTGCCTCCCACCTCCACCCTGCTGGAAAAGTCTGGTGGTCAAGTAGACGGAAGGGGGAATGCGACAAGGCGAGCCGAGGCCCACGGAACCTCCCCCCAGGTAGGTCTGGCTGGTGTCCCAACCTCCAGAGTTGGAGTCAGAGAGTCGTAGGCCTCTTCTTTTCTGCTGGGGGGTGTGCTCTGGAGTGGGCAGAAAACCAGGGTCCAGCTCTCCCGACTTGACCCAGCCGTTGGGCATGACGAAGAGGGTCTCCCCACCCTGGGGGCAGGGTCGGTCCCCACCTCCCTGCCTTGTCACGCTCAGCACAGAACCCGTCATTCCGCCGGCGTTGCTCAGAAGGCCTCTGTCGCGCCGCTGGATTGAGGACTGGGAGGCGCTGCCATGGCGGCGGTTGGCGGGCTTGTGAGCCATGATCCAGCACACGGCAAGCCCGGAGAGCGCCGCTCCGATGGTGAACGCCGAGACCGCAGACGCCACGAGCAGGTTGAGGGAGACCAGGCTCTCGGGTTCAATCAACAAGCTCTGCTGCAGAATTCCTGAAAGATTCATTGACAATTATGACGATGACATTAAACAAAACGGTTTGAACGTCATTTTCTCTCTGCGAATGACCACAGGGTGAAGATGAAAAATGAACAACGTTCTGGTCCTTACTTTCAAGACATTACATCTGATAATAAATCAGTAACAGCAATAACACTCCTAACCGGTGTTCATCATCCTCCGCACTCGGATTTTATGCAGTGGTTATGTTTCAGAGGAGCTTTTTTACCAGTTTGGCCTTGAGGCCTCAAAAGCTCCAGGTTCAGCGAGGCCTGCACTTGTCATCAGCTCAGCTCAGACCGCAGCTGCAGATTCTTTTTCTCCGATCTTTTCCTCACACTTTCCATCCAGCAGCCTGGATGGAGAGTCTCTCTTTGCAGCGTACCATTACCTCAGTGTTTCCACCCAGCTTTAATCGTTGCCATCTGCAGACACAGCAGTGCGCGCCTGTCTCTGGCTAGGCCTCCTCTGCACTTCCATCGCTTGGATAAGAGTCTGTCGGGTCTGCAGGCTGGCATGGCTTACCTCTAATACATTCAGTGTCATTGAATAGGATAAGTGGTAGAAAGCTACATATCAATTTAGCACAATGGGTTAGATGAGCCCTTCGAATAAACTATGTAACTTTAATCTGTTGTGTTTCGGAAATTCATATGCACCTAAATTGACTCTAGGACTTTGAAACATGACCTACAGCACAGCCAGGCCTTTTTAAAAAAGAATTAGCTGGAGAGCAAGATTCCTTTTTTAGGTTTAAGTTGACTTTCAGGATTTCAATGTGAGGTTCAGACAGGGTCTCTGTGTACTGCTGCACTGACATCTGAGCCTCTAAACTGAAGAAAAACCATGTGACATTATACTAGGCTATTTCCAGCTTGCTTACAAGTTAAACCTCTCAGATATTCAGCTCCAAGAGAACAAATTTGCACAACAGAGGACTATGCATTTCCAATCCTCCAGACTAGTATTGTCTGCCCCTCGTTCACATCTTCCCTAATTAAAAAGCATCACACTGGGTGCATGGTGACATGTACAACTGAGGTTGAAACCAAAATCCCAGATCCACATCGCCTTTATCCAGCTCTGAAGTCGGTGAATGGGCTCTTGCTGAGTATGGAAGCAAATAATCTTTTGTACCAAACATTCTATCACCAGGTAGAATCAGAACAAAATGTTCATATATGCAGGTGTAGTGAGGTACTGGGCCACTAGGTGGTGCATTCTCTCACACAACTAGAGGCATTCATTTGGTAGAACTGCAACCTACCATCACAGTCTCCTAGATGGGAGGTTGTGTTTCCATATTCCACATCTTGCTGAAAAGGGAGCCTGCAGGCAGAGAGAGATCACTGATGATCAACATTATTTTTAACCCCTTAAAGTACAAAGTGCACAGTGTGCAGCCCTAAATTAACTTAACACTGTATACTGTATGTGTGTGATCTCTAATGGCAGCGTGAACCAAAAAATAAATAAATGACTGAAACTGCCTAATATAATAGAAGCATTATCCTTGAACTGACTAAAAACATCTCCAAAGATAAAAGCTGAGGAGGCTTGCCATGGGGTGAATAGTTGTACACGTATGACGGTGTCTGTTGGTAGTTATCATTTAAATCAATATGGCATGCTGAGGTACCACCAATTGTAATGGGATATGCAATTGATCGGATTATTGATCTTCTTAGAGCAGGGTCAAAGGCTGGGGTCAACCATGCAGACAGGGATCCAAGCTCAATAATGGACTGCATCAGGAGGTGCATTTTTAAAAAACGATACGGATACATGCATTACAGCACGTCACTGATAATCTGCATTAAACTGAGAAAAGAAATGTTTTGCTGACCTAATTCTTTGAATTACATTAAGTCTAGTAGGTATGTACAGTTTACTGAGAAAAATACGGTGTTCACTCAATAATTTGCCCCAATAAAATACATCAATGACACCAATAAATATAACTTATTAAGATTGTATCACTCAAGTCTGTTGAAGGGAAAACTGACAGACCAAATTCTGCAAATGTTTGGGAGGCTGAAACACCTACAATTTATAAAGTTTTGCCTAATCCATAATTTTTTAGCGGTATTTCATGCCTTCAATAATTTACTTTTTGTCATAGTTTCTGACTTGTTGTAATCTTCACAGGGTTTTGTGTATGGTTTTTGTTCCACTCACCGGGTTCCTGGTCTGAGGAAAGCGCAAGTGCTGCCTTTGGTCCAGCCACAGTATGGATCCCTGGAGGCCAGACAGCTCCTGAACAGGCACACACATCCAATACAATGATGTGAAGAAAAATCCAGAGGCACTTCTTATTGTTTTAGCTTGGTGTAGTTGGGTAACACGTTCAAAGACACAAGTTTATCACTTTGCAAAAATACATGACATTTATTTTAAATCATGTGGAAAATCTTTAAAATCACAACCGCTATTCATCTTTATACACAGCAGGGGCACATATTGTGTCATCATGATACTTGTTCAAGAAGATCTAAGTGTGATATATACGCAGTTGGAAGCTGGCATGCAACACAGCGATCTACTTTAAAATATTGCCTTTGTCTAGACCGTAAAAAAAGAAATGTCTTTTTGGCATTTGAGATAAATCGCTCTGCTAAAAAAACCCTTTGTTAGGGATAAACAACATTTACTGGGCAAACGAGTATAAATCTAACCATTAAAAAAAAAGTTTTTGGACAGACTATTGTAACAGGAGAGAGAAACAAATTTGGCCTGCATGCTTTTCCTTGGCCAATGGCCATCACTATGCTCAAACAGACCAAATTATCAGCCAAAGAGACACTAAGGAAATAGAAAATACACAAGGACACTCACTTCATGCAGCGTGCGTGCAAGTGGCAACGCGATGTGGGCACTTTGACCAAACAGGAGGGGAAGGCCAACAACAGGCTGTGGGTGGTACGGTCCAGAGACAGGGACAAGATCTGACGAGCCTGAGGAGTGTCCTCCCCACACCTGGAGACCATGGGAGAAAATATAAAGATGTATGGCATTATGCAAGTTATGGTCCAAAGCCCCCGCGACCCTGTTGGGAATAAGTGGTACAGAAAATGGATGAATGGATGGATGAATGGATGGATGGGTCTAAAGCCTGTTGTCTCACCCCTGTTACAAGTTGTGTGGGGGTAAGAAATAAACTCATCAGAGTCATTGTAGCATTGACAGCTATGCAGGACACCAATAAAGGTAACCGTGCAAAACTACAAGGCTTACCTCAGGCCAAGAACATGCTTGGGGAAACATAAGTAATAGAAAATAATAACAACAAAAAACAGATGGTGGCGGGAAAAAGTCAAATCCAGTTCTGAATTTCAAAAGGCTACACATAAGGAACAATAGCTGGTAATCAAGGACTGCAAGATGCAAAATCCCAGCAGGGAGCACAGAAAAACAAAACAGTTCTGAACAACTAAAAAAGAGAGTACTATTTAAACAAGGTGAGATTATATTGAAAAGATCAATCCTTATCTCCATTCTCATGTCTAGACTTGTGAACTTTGAGGCAAGTTCCTGTAAAATATGAAGTCTCGGGGCTGTATGATTCGTCACTAAAACTTTGTTTTGTATTGTTTGTTTTGAAAAGTAAAAACATGAATAGATAAAACCTTTATAAGTCCTAAAGGACTGCACAAGAGATAAGAAGAATATATATACATAATAAAGGAAATAAAATGGAAAGTCCAAAGCATGGCAGACAGTAAGAAAAAAAGGCTTTGTCTGTTATTGTTTCTTATCTAATTCTGTCTTTGTCTCTCTGGTGAGGAATATAGTTGAAACAAATGGAGGAGAAATATATTGGAATGATTTATTATGTGTAATTTCATGGGTGTAACTTCAGATCCAACTGTCTTTTGGCATGTTTTTCAACCATCAAACTCTTTCTCTCTATTTTTTGTGTCTCTACAAACTGAAATGCATACTGTCAGCCCCTCCTCAAAGTGCATACTTAATGTTGGATATCACATGTTTGGGCCTTTTAAAAAAATACCTCAAATGGAACGTGTTCTTTAAACGTGCCATCCTGAATAAGCAAGTCAGTTCAATAATTCTCTAAAATCTTTTAAAGAAACATTGCAGGGAACATTTTCATATGAGCTACATTATAATAAATCCTTGCCTGCATAGAGCAGACAGTGGATGTCAGAGCAACATACATTGTTTATGTTGTGGCAGATAAATCCTACTCATGTCTCAAAAGGACATAACTGATTTGGATGGTGGACAACATCTCTTTGTTGTCAGATTTACAGTCTATATGTTGCACAAACACGTTTTTGCTCAGATAATCATATTAGAAATTCAAGGTGCTGACTTGACATGTTTGGGCTGTAAGATTTTTGTATTTTTTGTTTGCATGAGCGCTGACAGGCTTTGTTTCAACATCCTCCACTGAGCAGTGGAGGATTCCAACAGATACCACAAAACTGAGCTTTTAGCTAATGTAACAGGTGCATACGCTTGCTTTAATTATATGATGTAGGCTGGAAATAACTGGAACCACTATATTTTAGTTTTAAATGAAAAGAATTCATCTCAGAACTGTAATATACTGCCATTTTACAAAGGTAGCTGAGAATGGTTCAGAAATGGAAAGCCCATTTATCTACTGGAAGCAGGTGCACTGGGACTGAATATCTGGAGCATTATGCCAAGAATCTGAATAAATTGGAGATAAAAGATAAGGATCTCTTGACTCCCACTCACTTCTCTGGGTTGAATCCCTCCACCTCCTCCAGAAACACACTGCTGTGAGAGACTGAATCTGCGCTTGGAATCATTAAGAACTTGAGGATGGTCCCTCGAGTGGAGCCAAGGAACAAGACTGTTCGGTTCTTGTGGGGGCCCGCCTCTGTGTCAACCACCATCGTTGTTAACTGGTACCTATATGGACAGACAAGTATGTAGTTATGTAATTAATGTAAAATTTCAACACTTCCTGCAGTTGATATTAGATCTTTTCAGCCTCAGTTACTAATGACATAAAATCCACTGAATCTAGGCTATCGAATCAAAAATCGTATGTACCTCCCCATAGTTTTGACCACCCAGGGCCTATGTCCCAACAGTGGAACTGTCTCGTCCATTAGAGGGTGGGTTTTTACAAAGTTCAGCACCTCATCTGGCAGTGTGGTGGAGGTGCTGAACCTGGATCCCTGCACTGCGCATCCCCCCGGCCTGAATACAGAGACAAGAGCAAAACAAAAAAAAACAAAAACAAAAAAAATGAGACAGTGAGGAGGAACAGAGAAGAATAGATGAGAAAATTAGAGTCAGAGGGGATAGCTTTCGCATCTGCCAGTAACCGCGTAAGTCGTTTGCTGAAATGTAGCAGAGAGGCATTGCAGCTGACAGCTGGAGAGCAGGTTAACTGACGAATATTTGAGACAGATGTTCGGGACGGCGGCTCTGCAGTATCCTGCTCATATACACTTTGCATCACATTACCTTGGTCTAGGCACGGCCTCATCTGGTACCGGTGTCCAAATAGACTCTGGGGATTTTTGCTCTTTAAACCGACCCTCAAAGACATGAGCGAGCTGCTGCATGTCAAAGACACACACCGCAGAGCCTGGGATGCTGTTGGAGACAAGTCAGTGGGTTAAAAAAATGACAGCCTGTTCTTATCTTCATGCATTTTGTTTTTTATCCTCATACCTGTTGGGTGGCGTGGAAAAGAGCCCCAGAATGACATCCCGTCCGTGCATGTGGATGATGTTGCTTGTGGCATGCAGAAGGTTAAAATAAAAGTGGGAGTCTCCCGGGACCGAGCAGTTGAGCCGCGCCTTGAGAAAAGTGGTCCACTGTTTCTCAAGAACACGCTGCGAGCCACCAAGGTCTGATTTACACACGCGAGCCACGCGGGACACCATCACCTGGAACAAAGGGACGAGCAGGTATCGTAAAGAGAGAAGGAGGATAAGAAGAAAGAGGCAATCAATGTGAGGAAATCACCTTCTCTAAGTGATGAAACTCCATGGCCATCTCTCTGAAGAAGAAATATATGTGAGGCCCCCACTCCATAGCACTCACAAAATAGGGCTCTGAAAAGTGATCCGAGAAAACACTTTAAGGTAACTCCATTCACTGCTTACTCAGTAATTAATGCTCCACATAGCTCTTGAAAACAGTCGTGTCAGCAGAAACTGCTTTGTCCACCAGACTTGCATATTAAACATTTATCCTCTGTTTAATTCATCCTGGTAGTAAACAGGGCTCACATGATCGTTTGTTCGTGGATCTTTGACTTGACTGGGCTTGTTTTTTTGCTCCAGGCTTTGCTGTTCAGTCAAAGATGTAAAGGCCCAGTGGGGATTTCAACTAACCTCAATACATCACTCTGTCTGAACGTGTTCCTTTTATAATAAGTCTATTAAGGGGAGGCCCAGTCACGTCTGGTTTAGTTGAATACGGCTTATTATTTGGCTTTGCTAAATTTTCTTATCCACTAGTGAGCTGCTGATGGCGGCCACAATGGTTCAACTTTCCATAATAAACAACTGATAATGAGGATGCTATTCTACTCCTGATTGTCCATTGAGGGTTACTCATCCTGGAGGGTCACTTTTAATACGCCAGTTGTTAAAAGTACCTCTGAACCATTTGGAGTCATGCTTGACTGTGCGGAGGGCAGGGCTGTCACCGAGGCTGCGATAGATCACTGCATCAATGGCCAGGAAGTCTGTCACAGTGCCGGTAAAGAGGCTTCCATCTGAAAGAGAGCGAAGCATCGGGGGAGTAAGGGAGGAGATTAAGGAGAGGATGGGGAAGATACAGATAGAGAGATAGCACAAGGTCAGTTAGAAACAAGCAATGCACTGAGAGGTCTCACTATAAATCATTTGTAAAGATAAACACAAGGACGCAGACATTTCAGAGTCTGGGCTGAAAACTAAGTCAGATGTCTGCTATATCTGAATGCAAAACTCGGTGTCCTACCGGCAAATAAAGCCACATTAGCATGTCGTGGATCATATGGACACCGCGCCATCCCGCTGACAGGTTCTCCCACCATTTCAAGTGTGTCCCTCTGAAATATGAGACGCGAATGATAAACCAACAGCCTGACAAATGACCTCAGCGAGTCACCGGCCCACAGATAGATGGATACTAACGGTGTAGTTGGCACACAGTGGGTTGAAGGCGTTTGTTCCACAAACAAACAGGCCACCGTGCTGGCTGAGCAAAACCTTGATGAAATTACGGCACTCTCCCTGTCAAAAAAAATGGAAAGGATCAGCAAAGGGAAAAAAGTCACGGGGTGATGTAAAGAGATGCTTCTGAACTGATAATATGTCAGAGCAACACATATAAACTGTGGAGAACAACCCCAAGGGGAAAGGAAACCTCAACCACACTCCGTCCGGGCGAACAATAGGACTGGAGCTTTGTAGTCACTTCAAAGTACAGACTGAAGTTCAAAAATGTCATTAGAGAACATGAGAGTTGATGACACTGTTATCGGAACCGTTTGTGGTAGATTCTTACAGCATTGTTCCACGATAAGAGGGTTTTGTGTAAGAAGATCAGTTAGACATTTTCATAAAGCTTTATCAATTGTTAATTTGCAAATTCCATTCCCTCTGGTCAATGTCAATCCCCTCATTTGTGTTCATCAAACTTGCATATTCAGATTTGCCTTTCCTTGAAATTCATCCTCTTGTGTCTGGAAATGACTTGAATGGAACTCCTCGCCTAAGCCTTATTATCTGATATGTGCGGATACATGAATTGGCAAGGTAACAGCGAATCGGTTAGCGGATCACCTTTTGCCCTCCCTAAAATCTGAATGTTGCCTTACCAGTATTAGAGAACCTTGATCCCGATTTGCAGTTCTGACAAGACCCAACGTGTATATGAACAAAACTGGTTTTCTAGGTTTGTAATATGAAATCCTTGTGAATCATCAGGGTTCCAGCAACAGTGTCGAAAGCTTTTTCTGCTATTCTCATGGTGTCAGATTTTGCTCCGGTTCACTGAACTTTGTTTTCATTTAAAGAACTTGGACTTGCTGTGTCTTGTTCTTGTATTTTCCCTACTTTTTAAAAAACGTATCAGTATAATATCTAATGTGTTTATGCCAGTTGATCTTTCTCACTGACTGTGCACCTGCCTCTCAACATAGTATCTCCTTGGTATGTCAAGCCGTTGTTCTGCATTTGGATTTGCTTCAGTTGTATTTTTCTTCTCAAAATGTTTGTTTGTTTCTTGGATTTCTAACACCTCTCTTGGTTACCTCTTGGTTAATTCTTTTCAGTTCAAGGGTAGAGCCTGCCTTTTTTTGTGAGTTTAGGTCATAATCAATTCGTTGTGACTAAAGTGTTATGTCTTTGGACATAAAAAAACACCATAATCTAACATCTGCAGCTTAAAAATGTTGGTTACATTGCAAAACAGAATATTTTTCAAAATATTTTATTGATAATATGTTATGTAATTATCATATAATAGTATGACTGATTGCTGGGCTAGCAGTTTAGAGTTTAGCATTAAGACTGGAAATTATTTGAAGTAGCTTACTTGGCTTTATATAAAGGCCGCTTGTGGAGTTTACCGTTACAGTCACATACTTATAAAATTCTAATCAGTCTTCTTATCTAAATGTTGCCAAAAAAGTGAATGATTCATTCTTCGTCCATAATGATTATACCCAGCAGGGTCATGGGGGGGCTGGAGCCTATCCCAGCTGACACTGGGTGAGAGGCAGAGTAAACCCTGAAAAGGTCGCTAGACTATCACAGGGACACACATAGATGAACACCCACAAACACATTCATTTCTAGGCGTCCCACGGGGATTCAAACCAGGAACCCCCTTGCTGTGAGGTGACTTTGCTCACAACCACACTGAATGATTGCAATCCGTAGAATGTTGAACTGCTTCTTCAAAAAATGAACTGTGGTACGTTTTAGTTTACTTTTATCGTCTGTTTATGGCTTAAACTGGTCTAATTAGTCCACTACTCTAAAGCAAGGGATACTGCTGCTTTCAGATTTTAATACTGTCTGCCCTCTGATTTAAAAATGTTTGTTCTTTCTGTCAAAGGTATTTTTAAAAAAGCAACACGGTTCACAACATGGTCCCTCCTGCCATCTCTCCAACTTGTCTTTCTCTTCATGTTTTTGGTCCAGTTTTAGAACAACGTTTAATTCTTGTTTTGTGCACCGATACGCTCTCATCAGCATTCTCACAAGGTAATGGCTGCCTTTCCTCATGTGTTTCCTCTGTATTTTTCAGCCACCTACATGCATCTCATCATTACCTCCTTTAAGTGATTTCAATTAGTTTCTGAGGCTGTCACTTTTTGCTCAGTTTGGCTCAGTTTTCCAGTACATTTCCATCTTTTTCTGCAATTTCTACTCAGATTATCCTTTTTCAGTGGCCCTGTGGTGTATTGTGCACTATATACACAATAAAGCTTATATTTTAGGACCCATTTTGCAAGGCTCCTTTCACATAAATGATGATTGTTCCATTTTCCTGTCTTCCCCACAGCCTGTATTGACATACGCACAAATCTGAACACAGGGAGGCAAAATAAAAATGGAAAACAATTGAATGAATAGATGCTTCTTCCGGTCCAGGTGAAATGTCACTGAGTTGACGGGATTTAGCGTGATTAAGCGATGCACTGATTCCATATCAAGAGGATCAAATTTGTGTAAACACTGTATGCAGGTGGACCCAAAGGAAATAGAGTTTCTGAAACAGCTGTTGTGTCTGCCCATGCGTGAGATAGTCTAGACAGCAATGGTGCGTGTACAAGTGTCCCTTACAGTCAGCGGGTTGCGCACGAGTGTTTTACCTCATGTTTGCCCTTCATCCGGCACACTCGAATATCATTCTTATTGGACTCCCATGTCCTTTTCTGAAAGGCATAAATCATAGAAAGTGCTCGTTTTACAGCTACTATGAGCGTAGGTGATTATTTTGCACATATTAGCACTTTTATACGTTTGAAACAAAAAAAAGAATCCTACCTTGCTGTAGAACATTTCATCACCTATCAAGTTATCCAGCTCTACTCTGTACAAGTCATCTCTAAAAAAAAACAAAAAAACACATGAGGCCCCAAAAAATAATGCAGTTTTATCACCACTTTCCAACGCGCTGGGCATTGTGTATACATATATGGAGTTTTTTTCCCATGAGCTTTCCCGTAAAGACAAATAAACTAAACAACAATATAACTAATCTACCTAATGAAGTGGGTGGGGAGCATATGGGATATCTGTTGACACCAGCTTGCAGGCCCAAATTTTTCCAGACAGGGCTTGTGTATCAGAACATAAAGCAACTTTTGCTTTCTTAACTTTTTGTGGGCATCGGCAATTCTGTTACTTAGAAAGATTCGGCTGAGATGTGTGAGTGAGTGTGTTTTTTGTGTGACTATAGAAACACATCCCCATCACAGAGTGCATGCTGGAACGAATTGCTAAGTAATCTCTTTTCAAAGTGTCGGTGGACTTAGAAAAAGTAAGTTGTATACACGTTATACTGACATAAACACAACAATAATGAACATGGAGCTTCCTCCTCTATTCTTTATTTTCTGTAAACAGAATAATTTCAGACGTGTACTTTTCCTCTTTGCGTGTATTTTCACAGATGAGATATAACCTTAAATGGAGAATTGTGGTTCATGTGTGAGCATTAATTACAGAAGAGCTCCAGATTTTTTTCCAGTCTGATTTTCAGTTCATTATCTGATTTTCTTGGGGTTGGTTGGTCAAACCTCAGTTACCCATATCATTAGTTTTCCTTTTCCAAGTTTCTGTTCCTGTTCCCTGCGATTGTCACTCAGTGTTTTCCATTCAGGTCATTAACTCCATTCTTCACCTGTGCTCCTTGTCCTTAGCTGCCTTTACCCACTGATGACCCTCTTCTTCATTAAAGTTTTCTGGTTTCCCTCACTCTTTCCTCTGCTTGATTTCCTTCTGCTGTGAGTTACTCCTTTGTTTGTTTCTTTCCTTGCCCTGGCTACTATGTCCTTTTCCACATCATCACCCACGCTTATCTTTTGGCTTTCGTTTTTTTTAGTAATTTACAATTCTCCAGTTCAGTTTTTGGGAATCTGACCTGGCTATGTCTTCTTGTTGCTCAGTTATAAATAAAACTTAGTTTGCATTCCACAGGTTAGTGTCCTCTCTGGGTCCTCGTCCTCACTTTGTACATTTTTTTTTTACTGAACATCTGTCAAAACCCCTCTCTTGCTTGCCACTGTTGGAAAATATGCAAAGCTGTAATGCTTTTAAACATTACACAAAAACTCATGTATGATCGTATATGTAAATGATCTAAATATACTTTGGGGGAATTACTTTTACTAAAAGGCCAGATTTGTTTTGTGGGGCCATTGCTGCATTTACCAACCAGTGGTGCAAATCCATTCTTATTTTCCATGTCAGAGATTTATGTCAACACATGGCTTTTACTTGACATTTGAAAGCAAGACTGAATAAATCACCAGTCTAACAAACTGAAAACGTCCTTTGCAGAGTGACAGCAGATGGAAGCACCAAATGAAAGCAAACACATATTAATGCGAGCACGTCAGTGACACACTGTTGGAGACGGTTGCTGTTGGTTACCTGGCTCCTATGTAGAGTGTGCGGTTGACTTGGAGGACTGTCTGGATGTGCAGCTCCTGTCTCTGAGCTAAACGATGAGCTCTGCCCAGGAACACTGGATAACTCCTCACCACTGCCATGATTACACAGACACACATAATGAGATAGAGTGAAATACTCTGCTTTTTTGACTGGCAAAATGACTTTCTGACATCCCTGGACAGAACCTTAACTTCCACCCATCCATTTTCGTAACTGCTTATTCCCTAATGGGGTCGCGGGGGGGGAGAGGCGGGGTACACCCTGGATGGGCCGCCAGTAGAACCTTAACTTTTCTATCCAAATTTACCAGAAATCAGCAGGCAGAATGTAAAGCTCTTCTGACCTTTATCATAATTCTTACTTTGCTCCTTCTTGATGTATTTTGTGAGGAAAATTAGATAGCAAAGACAATTGGCATGGCGTGGCAACATGCTGAAACATTTCACTGTCCACTTAACGTTTCTTCTTGTTACTGATGCACGCTGCCTCAGAATGAGCAAGACCGGCTGTAATAACTGTTGTTCTTTCATCTCTTCCCTCCATTTCAAATAAGTCCAACATTATAAATGAGGCAAAGAAGACAGAAGGTTCTAGTGACTGATTCAAAGAAAGTTTTACAAAGGAGGTCTCCACAGGGAAACCTCACCATCAGGAGACATATTGTGAAAGTGTCTCACTGTCCTTGAATGCAAGGAAGGGACAGAGATCCATCACCACATGTCTGCTCCCATTCTCTCCCCCACAACTCAGCCTGCTCTCTTGGCTTCTGCATCGCCCCAGCCACTCCAACAATCTTACCTTTTCATCTTTATACATCTCTTAAAATCTATTATTGATAATTCATACTTATTATTTTCTTTCTTTCTCAATTAGATTCTTTCTTCCTTTATAAAATCCCCTTTCTCCCATATTTAAGAACCTACTTTCCAGCCATAAAGAAAATAATCAAATATTCATATTTGTATGCGTGGGTACCTCAAAAGCGGCTCCTATTCAAGGTTCTGGCCTTCGACCTCTGATTTCCACACCCACTAAGAAGCAATTCATCAATCCTGCACACATGCTTGTGGACTCATACACACACCCACACAAAGAGGGGAAGGACACATACCCTCTACGGGGACATAGCTGAGTGGACTGGGCTCCTCTGGGAATGAGCCATCACCCAGTTGAAGCAGCAGGAGAAGAAACGAGAGGGGAGGAGCCACGGTCGCCATGGCAGCAGCACACATGCACTGTTAACAAAGAAAGAGGAGAGAGAATTTTTTCATTGTGCACAGAATAGTTTATGTCCTTGTGCGTATGGGTGAGAGAGTTTGTGTGTCTCTGAGTGTACGTATGATTGACATTATAACAGATTTCTCAGTGCAGAGGCACTGACCAACAGGTCTGGACAGTGTCACATATGCACCGACATCAGCAGGAGGCCTGCCTCTTTATGTTCTTTTTGTGTGTTGTCAGAAATGTCACTCGATCGTCAAACAGTTTAAACTGAAAGGAATTCTCAGAGTCAAATATCAGACAAGCAGAGACAGCTAAGCAAGGTTACAAAGTCACTTCGGACGGTTATCTTTTATGCTGCAGATACATGTGGAAGAAAATAGACTTTGCTCAAATGAAAAATCCAAGGTATGAAAAGATTGAAAAAAAAGATGTGGAGCAAAATCTTTCATTAGATGAGATGAGATCAAATTTCATAACAGAACAGTCAAAATATAGCCCACATCTGCAGGCTTTTTAATGACCCACATTTGTAAGTGGTGTGGGCTCAGTGTGTGTCAGTGTGTGGAGAGCTAAACTTAGAGATAGTTTTGTGTTCAGGCCCTCAAAACCTTAACTCTACTAAAATAAGCTAATATTATAAAAAAATATATGTCTATCATCACTCATGGCTCAAAGACAAATGAGGTTTGAAATAAAAACAACCCCAATATTAACATTTAAAGACAAGATCAGATATGATATATAGGAAAGACTAGAACACAATAACATTGGAGAAGTTAATCATTAATTATTGAGTAATTAGATTAGTTAATTATGCCAGGGAAACAAGAAGGCCCCCCAAAAGGATCATAGTGTACATGATATCTGAACTCTGAGCTTACTGTCAATATCCTTATATTACGGTGAAATTAAGACAGCACTTCCTCAGGACACAGAACTCAAAGTTTGGGATACAGTAGCTGTACTTGTGTGGCATCAGCCTGGCAAAACTTTAGAAAATGTTGATAAAATTATTGACATTTTTACCTGGTGATTGCCATTTTGGTATCTGAATAAAATGAATGTACACGCCTTGTTAAAATTTCCACAGGATGCTTTTACCTATGACACGGCAAAGCATGAGCTCATTTCTAGGGGTGCTGGTGGTTTCAGTTCTGAATCTGCACAGCACTATTTACAGTCTCAGAAAGGAGGTCAGACAGCTTGAATGGCGGACTGAAAAGACTGGAGGAACTAATGCTGATTTTTCATGGTGCTGTACAGCAGCTTTGCACACACAGGGCCTGATGAAATGAGAAGCCAGTCCAATACATGGAGAAATTAGACCATTGTTAATGGGAGCCGGCAACCATTCAGCCTGGCTGAGTGGACAGCCCTAGCCACTGCTGGTGGGCAGATATATTGACTGAGGCACATTAGCATATTCATAGATCCCCATTTACTGTATGAGGGAAAAAAGCATAGTCATCGACAAGCCATTTTAAAGCACAGGACGGGCTTTATTCATGTCAAAAACCTCAAAATGTAGAATTGGAGTGGTATGTTATTATGAGGATGTATTGCCTGATCCCCATGCATGTTTATCTAAAATTTGTAGGATATTTTGTCCAATAAATTTGAGTCTAAACTTGAACAATGGAATAAATAATGTGAATGATCATTCTATAAAGTAACAACATGGCTAAAAACATACATGTGACGACATATTAAAAAGACGAAGACAAAACAAGCTCACATGCCATATGCTAGAAATTTCAAAACCATGAGAGAGGAATATCAATCCCAGACATTAGTTACTACCAGATATAAGTTGCCAAAGCAACACCATTGAACATATTTTAATGAGGAGGCTTTGCTGTCTCTACTGAAATAGGGCGTCAGCTATGCAGCTGGCAGTGTTAGCCTTTGAAGGGAAAAAGTAGCTTGAAAACAAAGATAAAGATATGGAAATAAAAGAAGATGGAGTAGCAAACTATTTCATCTGGTGTATCTGGGAAAGCTGCTGAAAATTTGGAAGATGAAAAATGTAAAGGTACTGAAATGAAAAAGAAAGATAAACAAATATGGAGGCAATATCCATGCAGCTGTCATCAAATCAGCATAAATGCAATGCTCTATGTTTCCCCCTACCCCCACTAATTCATCTCACTACCTGCATCACCCCCTGGTCCCTGCATTTCTCTATTTTTTCCTCATGTTGTGTGTGCCTAGATTTTATTGCTGTTTTCAGTGATCGAACACCAGGTAAGAAGTGTTGGTTGCTAAGGTGATGACTGCTATTTGAAGCACACAGGTAACACATATACACATATCCACATAACATATACACATAACGCACAAACACTCTTGAGCATAAGAAAAATCTCCTATGTTGCCAATATGCTACATTTAGCATGAGATTGAAGTGCTGTTTTTTTAAAGATGTGGCTGCAGTGATGTGGACAGGAGACTACACTCAGGGGCCACTTCAAACCAAATTGTAGCCTAGAGATTGCAGGTTTGACAGCTCTAAGCCCTCTCCTCCTCTGAAGCATTGGATGAGGCCTGAGGGGGTAGGGCTGAGGGGGTGGATGACAGGTTTGTTTCATTTGCCTTCTGAGTGGGATTCCCTTGTCTCACATTAATGGATCCAAATTTTGGACTATGTTAATGTCATTGTCGTCCATTTCTTGGAAACCGTCAGAATTTTTCAATTTGGATTTGTCATGTGGGGAGTAAAAGGAAAGATCACAGAAATGAAATTACATGTCTTTGTTCTTGTAAGATCTTATCAACAAACTTTACCAAATATTTTTATTAGTATATGAATGCTGTCTTAACTGTTATCAGTTTTTCATGATGTTGTCACAGGAGTCCACTTAAAAGTAATCAGAAAAAAATTGAAAATACCTACATAAAGTTTGAATAAATCAAAATTATAGAGTAAGTGTTATCAGTAAATCTATGTGGGAATGAACTCTTTATGGGCTGTCCTTGATTCCGACTCAATTGTCTTCACCCAATTCATCAGTGTTCAAAATTGTGATAAACAGATACAAAACAGAATAAGTATAAAGATATGTATCTACCTTTTGTTTGAGGTAACCATTCAATAATTAAATGGAAAAACCTGTTCTCTGTCATAAAAATACAATTTAAAAAATCATACACAACATACTTAAACTCTGGTCAATAGTCTCCTCATTAGAGTGTGTATTGATTAAGATCATCGATCCATAAGATAAACCGTAAGATGTGGGCCAACATCAACATATTAAAGCATTGTGTTGCGACAGAGGCAGTGCATTTAATGTGCTGGAATACAGAGAGTGGTTCAGGTTAAAGCTTTGATGTTAGTTTATCAAGGGGTCTGTGTTGTCCCTGCAGAGCCCAAAGACAGCGAAGAGATGAAAGATAAAAGACAGACACAGATTCAATAAAGAGAGAAAAGTGTTGCAGAGATAACACCTGCTACAGACCTCTGGCTCAGTGTGCTTAAAAAATGGACCGGTGACAGAGTGAGTATCGGGAAATCAACAAAGGAGAGATGAGCCACTGGAGAGAAGATGAGGTGTTTATGGTGGATGTGTCAGATCATTTTGGTGTGATACGACTTAACATTGTAAAACTGACACTGTTGTCATGGGATGCCTGTAATAATGGTGACATTCGCACAGTATAATCTAGCCTCATCAGGCAACCAATTAGTAAATCACCTGCTAACATCCACATAATTAGCCAATTAGTGGGTCATCTAAATGAACACACACACACAGACTTGCTTTCACCTTGCATCAGTTTTTCCTTTGTGGTCTTTAGCAAGGACTGAGCTCCAATATATTTCATGCTTTTCTCCTCTCTGTCGTCTTGTTCCGCTGCCATGGCTGATTTGGCAGGAATGTCAGGGGTAAGCAGCATGCTGGGAATTTCTCAACAGTCCCCAGTAAGTCAGCAAACTATGTGAAACTTATCCATTTAATGATTAACTATTTAATATTTACCTAGTATCCTATCCTGAAATACCTAAGTGTATATTGAACAAGCTCATATTTGCGCAAGGCATTTCAGCAATTAAAGCTGCCGAAAAGAATCAATACACTCTCATCCTGCTAAACAGATAGAGAATTAAAAGCACCATCTTTGTCCAGGCTAAGAAGCATTAACTGACCATGAAGAAATGCTGAGACATAAATACAAGAAAAACCTGAGAAGCCCTTCACATACACAGCTAAATTCAACCTAAGAACCTTGACCTGTGCTACATCCAGCTATTACACACTCATGAATGAACCCGTTAAAATGCATGTATGTGTTTGGGATAGATATGTGGTGAATAAATCTCAGTGTATTCATCCTTTCATTTCCTTTCCTTTCCTTTCCTTTCCAAATTATTAGCTTTGAACTGTATTTTCTGATATGCTGTGTTGAATCTGTTATTAGGTCCAAGGGGTAAAGCTCTCTCTCTATTTCTTTCTGTTTTGCTGCTGCAGCCTCTCATCTCTATGCCTTTGTTACCGTAGCAACCAATAGCAAAGCTAGGCAGAGATGTTCTATTGCAGTAGATGTAAATGGAAGAAGGGTGGGTCCACTCTCTTTACACATACGTGCAAGCAAACATCAGCTTGAAAATACAAAAAAACACACGTATGCATAAACATGAACCATAATTCAAGTGAACACATTGGAGGGCACATGGTTACAAATAGGGACACATCTCAACATGTAATAGGATGGTGAGGTGGAGGGCATTCTCTTTGCATGAAGGGGGATGGGGGCGGTACCATCATTTGGTCTCCATATCAACTAAACACTGGCCAAATATGTAATTTAGTTGATATGTGTGCATCAATAGGGTTATCTGACATATACAATTATTGCGCTTTCACAAAAAATATACATATTATAAACATACATACAACACATACTATCTCTCTCGCTCTCTCTCTCCATATATATAAATATATATATATATACACATATACATATGTGCGTATATGTTAGTGCATGTGTGTGTGTGTGAGGATCCTTTACA